TGAAAGCATGCACGGCTTTCTGTAAATGGGACTCTATTTTAAATACATGAGGAAAGATTATTCTTTAAAGGAAAGTGAGGTGAATCCCTACTTCCCTCTGTTCCCAAATGTATTTAATTAGTCATTTGTAGAAGGCAACATGGGTTAGGGGAAAAAAAACCTTAGGATCCTGGAGCTGATTGGGTTCAAATCTGGGTTCGTCATTTCCTCGCTGTGATTTCAGACACAGTCATCAACTCTGTGCCTCCACGTCCTCCTCTGTTATGCCGGCGCATAGCGCCTACTTGGGAGTGTTAGAGAGTAAGGGTCCCAGGACATGGTGGGAGCTCAGTGTTCCTCAATTTCCTTTTATAAGTTAAATGATCATCCCTACCATCCCTGCCTCCCACTGCTTGAGGAGCAAAATGAGGCAGGATTTGTGATATTGCTCTGAAAATTGAACAGTACCAGCACCATGCAAACAGGAGAGATTATTATGCAGATGGCTGAATGTTGAGTGCTCCCGTCACATGAGAGTCCTATGATGCTGCTTCCCTGTGCTGTGGAGGTTTTATCCCCTAAGCACTAAATGCTAAATTCCCCCTCCCACGCCCATCACCACTGTCCTCACGGATCCTTGCAGCAGCTCCCAATCGGTCTCCCTGTCTCCAGCCTCACCACCCCCAACTCTCCTCCACCTAGAAGCTAGAGTGGTGTTCCCAAAAAAGGAAATGTATTTACAGTCAGTCTGTCTCCTGCCAAATTGTAATTTCTGATGGAAGGGGCTTTCTGGGTGTTATTTGCCCATGTGAGCCTGCCTCTAACGTGGAGCCTGGCACAGGGATGGTTCAGCATATGTCTGTTTAGTGCCTGGTTATGGATAAAGCCTGCAGGGTTCCACTGGCTTATTGCAGTTTCTGTGTCCTGGCTGTGCAGGCGGCATTCTGGAGCGCTCTCCAGCTGGGGCAGACCATGAGCTCCAGAAAGGTCACCTCAAAGGGGTGCCCCTGGCCCAATGATGAAGAGTACACACCCTGAAATCAGACCTGGGGTTCTGAATACCATCCCCAGCTCTCACCAACCAACCATCAATTCTGTGCCTCAGTTCCTCATCTGTAACACGGGAATAATAATGCCCGCTGATAGGGTCATGATTTGTACCAAATAGCTGAGAACAGTGCCTGAAACGCTCCTCGCCAACCCACATCATCTTGAAACCAGTCTCATTTCATCCATAAATATGGCAGCATATGTGTCCCCTAGACAAGGGCCCTCTCACACACAATACTGCTATCACACCTAAAATATTAACAATAATTCCATAATATCATCCAACCAGTGTTCAAATTTCTCTAATTGCCTCATAAACAACTTTCTCATTGTGTTCAAATCAGGACTCAAACAAGGTCCATGTCCATCTATTGCAACAGACTGATGGGGTGCTGGGATTCTTCTGATCTATATAGCAAGGGTTGGCAGACTTTCACTGAAAAGGGTTAGATAGCAAGTATTTTAGTCTTTGTGGGCTATTCAGTCTTTGTTGCTATGTCTTAAACAAATGGGTATGGCTGTGTTTCAATAAAACTTTATTTATAAAAGCAGGCAGTTGGCCAGATTTGGCCCCAAGGAGTCAGATTACTAACATGTGATGTACAAGCTTGTTCAGATTCAGGTTTTTTTTTTCTCTCTATAGCATGTCATAAGTTGGTAGCATTGTGGATTTCTATCAGGAGGCTTAGAATGCCAGGGTGTTTCTCTCTCCTTCACTCTCTAATATTTCATCAGCCACGTACATTCAATGTCTAGATCCATTAATTCATTAAGGAAAGCAGAATGGAAACATTCTAATTCTATGGCCCCGTCTTCATTTATTAGCTGCGATACTTTTACAAAGAGAAACTCTCCTTCATCAACTCTTTGCTTATACCGAGGTATAGTTTATACAGGAAAGTCAAGATAATAAATGCTTGATTCCTTTCCTTTTTTCTAGCTTTTAAAAATAATGAGTTGGGCTTCTAAGCATTCTTCAAAGATAATCAATGTCTTTTTTCAAAGAACATTATGAGCAAATAGATTTCAAAATAATTGAAGTGTTCTGAGGCATTGTGGTGTCTGCCTTTAATGATGTTTAAATTGCCTCAGTTTTGCCCCAGCTTACGACAGGACCTCAGAAGTCTTTGATGACATCCTTGCTTTCTGGTAGGGTGACATCTTCTGGGGTTATCTTATTCAGTTTATGAAATCGCCCTTCTCCAAAAAGCTCTGGTTCTCTCTGGAGAGAAGTGATACTTAGTAACCCTAATTTGTTACTAAGGATACTTATGGTTTCCAGAACTTTTCAGTAGCTATACCAAAGGATCGTTTTTTTTTTTAAGGCCTCAGAAATATGTACTGAAAGTTCTGAACCAGTTCAGGACCACAGCTGGGGCCTCTACAGGAAAGGTAAGTACGTGGGATGTAAGAACCCCAATGAACAAAGCGCTTCGGGTTCCTTGGCCCAGCCTGATCAAACTTCTGGGTGACGTCAAAGAGGTCTGCCTGACCTAAGAGTCATTGTTCTTTACAAGAAAAACATGTTCATTAATCTTGTGGGCAGGCTAGGATATTAAGTTAATCAATGACAAGTGACTCCCTTCCACCAAAGGACTGTGCAAACGGGCATGCAAGGATGAAGCAAAGGACCATGATGAAGGAAAACAAGTAAAACAAACGCCTTATGATTCATCTAACACAGGCTCGGTTACAACTGCAGGCATAAAAGGAACTCAGAGCTTAGCAGTGAGACAACAAACCAGTGGAACACGGACGGTGATTGTTCCTGGCTGAGCGCCACACGTTCCTACCAGGAATCCTCTGTTAGTCCTTTGGGCTGGAGGATGAGATCCTTCTTCACCCTCCACTGCCCAGGGACATGCTTAATGGTCATATTTGTTCTTCCCAAGGAGAGAGGGCCCATCTAATTGCAGGGCTTTTGTTTTCCTGGGTGGACTCAGGAAGGCTGATGCTGAAAACGGAGGTGCTGAGGGAGGCTGTAAGGAGAAGGGAAGGAGGCAGAGGCTCTGGTGCAGTTAGGAAGAGCGGGGCAGTATCCCATGTCCTCTGATGTTGGGAATGAGGTCAGGGAGGGCATTTCTCACCTTCTTTCTCTCGGCTGCATCGCTCACCCATACGATGGGAAGGGATTCTCAGGGTAGTGCTTTAAGGTGGATTCAGGTTGATAGGATTTAAAAATCAACGCTGTTCCATAAGAGGGCTGCAACTTATCATTTCAGTTCAAACACCTGTAAAGTAAAGTTACCGTCTCCCAAATCTACCCAGCACTACAGTGCTGAATAGGGATCATGCTCTAAAGCCATTCATGGAAACAGAGACAACCAAGGAGACAGTCTCCCAGTGCTGTCCCTTCAGCCTGCATTACTCTCTGACGAGACAGGTCTGCCATCCGTTGATGTGCTCCTCCATCTCTGGATCTCTATGCACCCTTTCCCCTCCAAAACCCAAACCGTCCCTCTTAAAATGAAAAGCTCAGGAATATTCACCCTAGACTGAGACAGGAATTTCAGGTACAAACCTTAATTAGACTTGATTTAAAAAAATTTTTCCCCTGTCGCTTTTAATTATTAGAGAAAGCAAAATCTCTAGTATTGAACGTATATGTCCCATAGCCTCTTTATCAATGGCCCTAATACATTCCATGTGCTTTCCAGAAAGATTATATTCTTCCCAGAGCTGTCTGAATGTCTTTTTGAACCCCTCAAGACTGGACACCAAGGAGTATAAATAATCATTTAAAAAAAAAAACACACTTCCTCTACAACCTTGAACCTGAAACATGAATATATGCATAGAGTGGCTGTGGAAGAACTATGCAAATTTATGGAGAATATCAATTTAAGTTTTACCACGGGATCCAGCGATGTCTTTCTTCATGGAGCTGAGGATTCGTTCAAGTTGAGATATAGTTTGGGGAATGTGTGATTTATAGTTAAAGTCATCTGAAAATCAATACGGTTGAAGATCTCTGACATAAGGGTCCCTTGCAGAGCTGGACGTGATTCTAAAATTGGGAACACGGGAATAAAAACTAAATCTTGAGTAGAAGTAGCTGAAAATTGCAGTGAGTTGGGGAAGCTTGGCTGCTAACTCCCCACTGTTTGAAGATGGGCTTGTTTGTTTTTAAAACAGCCAACATAATTCAGCTGGAGGAGGTAGAAAGATTTTTCTATTTCTTGTTTCTGTAGACATCGATGGACTTTAGTTTGTATAACTGTTCCCCCCCTGCCTTTAGTATCTAAAATAAAATAACCCTCGTTGCTTGCATTACTGAACGCATTTCTGCGTCTTAGCGTCTATGGCTAAACGAGTATTAATTAGATAGTCCGAGGAGAGCTGGCCTGGGAAGGGAGCGGAGGGGAGGCGAGGTGGGGGAGAGGGGCAGGGATGGCAGCAGGGCGGACTCTCGGCCCTGACTCGGAATCCTGACAGCAACTTCCTAGGTGGCCTGAGGACCCCGGTGCGAAGGGAGAGGGCGGGTCCCAGCAGCATCTGACCTGCATTACTGACAGGGGAGCTGCGGAGGGGACGAAGGGGGCGGGAGTAGGATAGAGGTGGTTCGGAGGAATCCCAGGTTCGAAGCCAGCTGCGGGCGACAGCGCAGGTAATGGGGCCACCGAGGCTGGGGCCAGCCGCTAGCAGCAGCCACGCCCCCCACCTCCCCAAGGATTTTTAGGGCATATTCTCCAAAGCTCTCGCATCCTCCCCCTGCCTCCTTCCACCCTCCACCCTCCCTGCCCCCACTCAGACCTCTTTAAACCCACCCAGGGGCCGCCACGGGATGAGGCCGGGGAACGGGCAGAACCTGGGGCGGGGGCTGGTGGGCAACGCACGGGAAACACCTCGAAAGCAGCCGGACCCAGCGGCTGAAGTGAGGCGGAGGCGCTTGGCAAGGGGAGGCTCCGGCTCGGAAACGCGCGCGAGGCTCGCAGCTCCTTCCCGACCTGTCGCTCTCCCCGTGGACCCCCGAGTCAGCCCCGGCAGCCCCCGCCGCCGTGGCGAAGTGAGGAGACCCCCGCGGACAACCACACGCGCGGGGCCGGGGCGCTACTTGAGGCCCTCGCTGCCCCTTTAAGGGTTCTCGAAACTTTCCCCCCTGGTATCAGATGAGCCTCGTCACATCCGTTGGCCGCGGCCGCCGGGGCGCGTTCCGAGGAAATTCGGGACTCGAGTTTCCCGGGGAAGAGGCGCGGCCGCAGCCCGGCGAGGGTGCGCAGGGCGGGCGCAGGTGGACCCCGGCGGCCCCCGCGCCCAGCTGTGACCTTGGCCGCGGGGGAGGGGCCGGGCCGCTGCGGGGCAGCCGCGGCCACCAGAGGGGGCAGCGGAGAAGAACTTGCCCAACTTGGCCGCTTGGGCAGGGGCGGCTCCGCGCCTCCGCGCCCGCCTCCCCGGCCTCCGCCTTCTCCTCGCCCGCGAGCCTCCTCCCCTGGGCCCTCCTCCCGTCCTCCCCGCCGCCGCCGCCGCCGCCGCCGCCGCCGGTCCCGGTGCGCGCCCATCCCTGCCCGCAGCCCCGCGCCCGGGTCGAGTCGCTGAGCCGCGGCCGCCGGACGGGACGGGACTGGCTGGGCCGGGCGCGCCCCCCGGGCCCCGCTGTGGGCATGGGCGCGCTGGCCCGGGCGCTGCTGCTGCCTCTGCTGGCCCAGTGGCTCCTGCGCGCCGCCCCTGAGCTGGCCCCCGCGCCCTTCACGCTGCCCCTCCGGGTGGCCACGGCCACGAACCGCGCTGCTGCGCCCACCTCGGGACCCGGGACCCCCGCCGAGCGCCGCGCGGACGGCCTGGCGCTCGCCCTGGAGCCCGCCCTGGAGTCCGCCGCGGGCTCCGCCAACTTCTTGGCCATGGTGGACAACCTGCAGGGGGACTCTGGCCGCGGCTACTACCTGGAGATGCTGATCGGGACCCCCCCGCAGAAGGTAAGCCCCACGCCCTGGCGGCTGCCGTGGGTTTTTCGAGCTCGTTGGAGGGAGGGAAGCCTCCACGCGGCTTAGCATCGCCCCAAAGCAGCAGCTGTCCCCGCAGAGAAGAACTGGGAACGCAGAGGGGCTCGGGTGGGCGGGGGAGCGGGGGCGCTCGCTCTTGGGTCGTGGAGGACTGCGGCCCCCGCCCGGGGTGCACGGAGGGGTGTGCGCGAGTGTTTTAGAACTTGTGAGCTCCCCCTCCGCGGGGCTGGGCGGGAGAGACCTGGAACTTGCCGCCTCCAGTAACGTGATTTCCTTCTTGCGGGCGACACCTACTTCCAGCGGGAGACGGAGCGGTGGGCCTCGAGCGACGGGCTGTTCAGGGGAAAATCACCTCGTCTTCAGACTCTCCCTCCCCCCGCCCACCCCCCTATGCTGTCTCATTGCTAAAGAGGCTCGTGGCGTGCTTCCAAAGGCGCAGTACCCTTTAGAAGGGATTTATGCATGAGCTCAGCTAAAAGCAACCCGGTTCTAAAGTGACTTGCTTGCTGCTCTTGAGAGGAACAGCGTTCCCCTGCGCCAGCGCTCCCTTCTCTGAGATGTTTGGCTGCTGCGTCCTCGCTCATCCCGCGGCCCTGCCCCTCTGCACGGAGCGATGCATCTACACGCGGTTGTGCAGAAAGAGTAAAATGCAATCCAGCTACCGGGAAAAAAACACGAGCTAAGTGAGGTGTCCGGGGACCAAGTGGCATCCCGATTACAAAACAAAAATGAAACACCAGGCAGCTTGCTTTTTCTCTTACTCTGATGTTCATTTGCTAACACTTTTTGTAGCAAGAAACAAATGTTCCCAAGCACAGTAATCTTAAATTTAAAAAAAAATTCCGATTGATCTGCTCCCCCTCCTACTTTCAAACTATCTAATGCAAGTGGGATTTGAAATCATTTGCTCAATTGAATGCACTGTTTGAAGATACTTTATTTTTATTTTTAACATTGTCATTTGGGTTTTAATTTAGCCATGATTCTCCCATAAATAGAACATACTCATGACTTTTTGTATAATTCTTATTAAATTATTCAAGACTTTAAGAGGGAAGACATGCCATGCTAATTCTTTTTTAAAAGGAAACTGCCGAATTACTCCTGTAGTTGTTTAATTAGTTTGCGTGGGGCGGGGGGAACCCCTTCAAAAGCATATTCTTCTCAAACTTTGATTCTAGTTGCCTTTCATCTAAGTCATGGGAAGCCACGTGAATGATCTTTCCCATCTCCGGGAGTGGATGGTTAGAGGGAGGGAATGGGAATCCCATCAGCTGAGGGAGCTTAACTCGGCCTTAAGATGTGGTCTTGGTGCAGCCACCACGTGGGAACATGCGCCTGGTGCTGAGAACCTTGTAAATATCACAGGATATTGTGGAAGAACTTCTTCGGTGACCTACAGAGAATCTTTTGTAACAGCCCTTGCATGACTCACCATTTGACATGTATGCTTTGATGTGAGGGAATATTGTCTCTACTAAAACTAAATTTGGGTAGTCCGAGGGCTGTGCTAAGCCCCAAAACCCTCTCTCCAGAGGAAAGGGGAAAGGAAGAAGCCTGAAGAAGGACTAAAAAATACTTACCTTGGACAATAAAAAAAAAAAAAGCTTTTATAAATGATAGCTTGCCTTTGTTAATTAATTCGATGATCTTTACTTTAAAATGAGGTTTAATTAAGTTAATTAATAGGAATGTGTTGAGTACCTAGGCTCCTGTCTTTCCCATAGATTGCTTATCAAGCATTAGCATGTTTCCAGGGAGGGCTGCTTTCACAGAGAAGGATTTAATTTTTACATGTGATGGGAATGAAATATCCCATACCTCCTTCCTGGCTTGATTTAGCAATAAGCCGCTTTATAGCAAAATCTTTCCAAATGCCTACTGTACACTGAGGCTTTACTGACTACTGCATTAAGATTCACTGCCTGCCTGCGTTGCCCTGAAATGTCTCTGACCACCAGCAGGGTGTCGTCGGCCAGCTAGAGGGGGCAGCAGTGAGGTGACTTCTGAACCTGGAGTGAGCTTTCCTGCTCTATTAATGGCCAGGAGTCATGCATTTATTCTCTGCTGATTCTCCGAAGCCTAAAATAAAAATTGCTTAGGTGGAGAGAAAAAATGGAATTGTAAATTCAAGCAATAAATAACCAAGAATTTTTCAAGAATTAAGTAACAGTCATACACAGTGTCTGAGAGCTCAGTGACAGGCACTGTGCTATGTGCTTTAGGGGTGCTTTCCCCAGGAATCTCCACCACCCACCAACCCTCAGGGTTCTTATATGCATTTGGGGTTGGGAAAACCGAAGCTTGGAGCGATTGAGTGACTTTCCAGGGCAAGAAAAAGGGAGGGCCAAAAATGGAACCCAGGGAGCTGAACTTCAGAAGCCAAATTCTGAACCACCAGGCAGATAATGACTTGGTTCCCTTCCTACCTCGTGATCTCTTTGGTATTGGCCTCAAACTACCCTTTCTAGCCAGAGAATCCTGAACTTATATCCCAAGGTGTTAGAAACTTTGTGACTGCAACTGGATTCTCCCACATTCCCCGTTCCCCCATCTCCTCCTTCCTTGGGCACTGCTGAATGAGCCGCAGAATGAAGAGCTGGATCCTGGTGTACATGGGAGAGACATTGAGAGGAGGGGGTCAGCAGCAACGACAGCTCTCCAGCTCCCCCTCTCCTAAGGGAAAGTCAGCTGCTGGAAGTCTGCTTTTATTCCCTGAACGCTTTCATCAGGAACTGGAGGTCCATTGTTTGCCCCGTGACTCTGAGTAGTCACAGGCATGTGCCCAGAAGCCTGTGTGAGAGCTGCAGGACCCGTGTGCTGGGGGGCAGGCCACGTTGGCATGGAGATGACTGCCAGGTTTGTGGCTGATCCCATTATATGGGCTCTTTCGAACAGTAGAACTTTTGAACAGTTCTTTCAACCAGCATCTGCTTGAACTGTGCAATTTGGTCTTATTAATAATAATAACAGTGTTCTAAAGTGATTATAATTACAGCAATTTCCATTATTTAAAAAAAGAGACTTTCATGCTAATACAATAACTCCAACTGAAGATAGGAAAAGGTGTGCAGCTATATACCTTGTAGTAGCTTTAAAAAAGCTTTTGGTTTTTTTTTTCCAGAAAGATTTTCTGTCATCTCCACTAAGGTGAGTAAAGCAGACTACAGGCTATTCTCATGCCTGAGCACCTGAATGTAAAGGACCACCTAATTATTTTGGCAAATCCCATTTTAATCATAGTGCATTCACTTAATTCTAAGCCTCTTAGTATGAAACTATTTGGAAAACTTGGATTGAAAATATGGACTGAGCATATATGTAAATAAGAGTTTGTTCTTCAGAAGAAGCCATCCAGGCTCCCCAAATTAAGCTGACTCTAGGTGAGGCTGAAAACAAGGCGGCAGTCCCAGCAAGAAGAAATCTGATGGAACCACTTGAAATGGTAAACTATTTAAGACAATGAGATAAAACAATTACTGAGGCTGAAAGAACAAGAAAGTCAAAGCCAGTTTGCCACCAGCTCCCGGGCTTTAGAAAAAGAATTCATCAAAGGCTGTATTACAGAGGACTAGGAAAGGTGAGCCAAGAAATCAGCTTGGAACAACAAGGAGGGACAGGAGTCTGAGAAATGGTTTATAAGATTAAGAGCTGACCTTGATTTCTTGCTGATTGAGTGTTGGGCACTCAAAGGGCATGTGAAACCGTTTGCATTGCTCACCTCATTTTATCCTTGCAATGTCCTGGAAAATGTGCACAATATGACTTAATTTTCAGATGGGGTAACCGAGGTTCAGAGGGCCACACTGGTGAAGGCAGGGTGGGGCAGGGCTGTCAGTCTGGGTCTGCCCAGCTCAAAGTCTTCGCACTTCACTGGAGTTCCTCCTTAGGTGCAATGTTTTAGTTACAGTAACTTTTTAAGAAGAACCATCTTCTTGCTTCTGGAGATGACGTGGTTTGTTGGAAGCATCTTGGCCTGATTACGGGTCCAAAACACTGTAGTGTCACACCTGAGACCACGGGCAAGTAAGGAACCTCCCTCGGCTTCCCTTTCCTCAGCTGTGGATAATCTAAGTTCTGCATTAGTGTCCTGGTCTTACAACAATGAAACTTGTTCCCACAATTCTACAGGCTAGAGTTGGAAAATCAAGGTATCCTCAGAAACACTGTCCCTCCAGAGGCTCTTGGAGAGGATACTTTCTTCCCTCCGCTTAGTGTCTGCTGGCTGCTGTCATTCCTTGACCCTCGGCCACGAGACTCCAGTCTCCCCACTCTGTGTAAGTCTCTGTGGCCCAATTCCTCTCTTCCTATAAGATGCCAGTCATTAGATTAGGGTCTGACCTCCTCTAACCTGACCTCATCTTTACTTGATCACGTCTGCATAGACCCACTTTCTGAATAAGGTCAAGTTCACATATACCAGGGTTAAGTCTTCAACATATCTTTTTGGGGGAACATGGTTTAATCCACAACAGGTTCATTCTAGGTTTTTCATTCCATGGATTTTTTTTCTTTGATTCCACCTCACCTTTTAATTGTTAATAATTTCAATTTGGGATTCAAGTGTAACTTTTATTATAGGCAATAAACAGATGATGATTTTAGTGTTGTGTGACTATGAAGGCTGTGGTAAGACAGTGCCCTGGGGCCTGGGTGAGGGAAGGGAGAAGGGAGAAGGGAGGTTTTCGTGTTTTTTTTTTGAGACAGAGTTTCACTCTTGTTACCCAGGCTGGAGTGCAATGGCGCCATCTCGGCTCACCGCAACCTCCGCTCACCGCAACCTCCGCCTCCTGGGTTCAGGCAATTCTCCTGCCTCAGCCTCCTGAGTAGCTGGGATTACAGGCACGCGCCACCATGCCCAGCTAATTTTTGGTATTTTTAGTAGAGATGGGGTTTCACCATGTTGACCAGGATGGTCTTGATCTCTTGACCACCCACCTCGGCCTCCCAAAGTGCTGGGATGGGAGGCTTGA